GATATCAAAAAAGTACTCCAGAGTTTTGTTCAGCATGGGGGTGAGTAGAAAATGAAGGCTAATCATGTTTTGGGTGTACTATTCCTTTAAGCTGCTGTCTGCCACTACCACGAGGCCAGAGTGTTTGCCAGTTTTGGGTACTCTAGCCAAGCTGAGTTTTGCTAAGTCAAACTGAGTTCTTGTCAACCTGAGTTTTAAGATTGTTTTGTCTTTGCCTCTCGGCAGGAAGTCATCCTGCAAACTGATTTTTCAGACCTTCTCTCCCTGGAAGGATCAACTGAGCTACAAACTGAGCTGGGGTTCAAACAGGAGGTTTGGATCCACTTTCCCCAAGAGATCGTTTGAGCTTTGCACTGAGAAAGGGATTCATCTCCACCACGACCCTTTCAAGTACCGCAGGAAATCTGAGTGGCAGTCAGCTTCTCCGTTCACCTACCAACAACAGCATTCTGGGTAAACCCTGTTCCGCCCTCAACCGAATCAGACAAACACTGAAACTACAGCATACAGACTGGAGTCAAGGATTCAACAACTTCTCTGGAAACGTCAGTCAGCAACCAAATCCTCTTCTCCAAGTTCACGAGTCAAATTTCCCACTGAGCCTGAACTAACCGCTGCGTCTCCCCCTCACTTTTCAGTTCCGGTTGAGCAGTGTGCAGAGCAACACTTCTCTCCGTATTATCTCTTCAATAAAACCTGTTAAACCTTTTCCCTGGTCTCCCTGTTTGGTCTTCTGCATTTGGGTCTGAACTTTAGTAAAATCATGACAATGGGCATTCCTATGTCTGTGTCACAGTTTTACAGTTTAACCAGTGAAAGAAGCATTGCAACAGGCTTTCTGGTGACATATTGGTCACACTGTTAGCTATCTGTTAAACTAATTCTAACATTGGTGAAAAGCTGAATACCTTCAACATTTAAAATGTGATATCTCCTACTGTCTGACAGTTCATATTTTTTTCCTATTTTTACTGAACACTTTGATTTGTACTTTCCAGCATCTTAGTTCTGTTTGCATTGATAACCTTGTATTTGTTAATATGTTTTTGTGTTTTCACTGATGTACTTTTTTTTAGTCAAAGGTGTAATGACAAGCCTTTCTGTGCAGCCCAGGAACTCATTCTGGTAAATAAAGTTTATGTCAGTGATGCTTATGGACATCAGGTCTGACCTCTCAATGAAGTAGAAACAACACTGCTTCAGCCGGTCAAAATCAGTGGGGCTCTTGATTTGTGACCGGCACTGAAATGCTAATGTGACCTAAAACTGAGAATGGATGTATTAGAGAAAATAAGGGGAAAGAGGAGGTAAAAAGATTTTAGGAGAGAATTTAAAGGAAATAGGTGAGAGGTAAGTGAGAGTCAACCATTGGAGAGAATTATTTATTTATACTTATTTGACTCTGGTTAGGCCCACTGAGATCAAAGATCTATTTTCTACTGTAAGGGAGATAGAGAGCAGAAAGCGGAAAAAACAACAGTCATACTTCCCTAATTGATGAGCTGGACTGCAGTGATTTTAACATAGCTTTTGCCTAAGGTACAAAAGCTTGAAGCCAAAGTTCAGTTTAATATCAGACTCTTGATCTATAGTTGATTTCATGCATAAATGCCAAACATTATTAGAGTAGAAAATTAGACTATGGGATGACAAAAAACTGATCATGAAGTTAAGAGGAAACAAAGGTAAAATACAAAAAATAAAGAAATAAAATTATGTATGATTCACACCAAGATAAGCTACAAAAAGACTCTTGTATTGTAAACTAGCTGTAATTTACCACATTTGTAGCAGAGCATGTGAGTGGAGCGTGGTGCGAGTGGTGGAGCAGAGTGGAAGAAATGTGGTTGAGTACAGAGCGGTTTTCAATTCAAAGGCCAGAGCGAGAATTTCGCTCCGCACCAGTTCGCTTCTATGCGCTCACAACTTCAATTAAAAAATGTTGCATTATTAAATTTGTAAAATAAAATTGATTTGATTTAAGTGCAATTTTTTCATCATGTTTTATTGTACGACTGCCAGCAGCGCTGAATGTGACGAGGAGGAGGATATGCCTGCGCTGTCACAGATGGAAGAGGATGCGGTTACAGCCAATTCAGAAAACACGATAAACACCTACTTCACTACCTCGAGTTGTACATTTGAGAGGACCTATCCATCTCCTTCAGCTGGTGGTAAAAGATGCCGAGATTGCATATTGTGTGATAAGAAGTGGGATAATATATCATAGAACATACACTAACTATACTTAACAATACAGAGTGCTTTACATAAAGTGATTGTTGTGGTAAAAGCCTGTTTTTGAAAATGGATTGCATACATGCATTATACGCTATTATCTCATTTGCAATGGGAGGCAAAGTGACCTTTTTTAATGTAGTCTAGTAAAATAAATTCATTAATAATTGGAAAAGTGGGGCAAAATGAATAGAGAAAGGTGTTACGTTCACAGCTGGGAAACAGTGCAATAATTTAACAGCCAGTTAAGACAATACACATGTATCCGTCACATCATTAAAGTCGTAGGGAAGCGGTTCCAATGGTTGAAGTTCCGAATTCTCCCCAGTGGTGCCCGACTTTACAAAAGTGAATAAAGTGAATGTGATTGGTCGTTTATCAAGGGGGCAGGATTGTTACGGCGGAAGGTTCGCAAGCAAGTTTGGTTGTGGTCGGTTTGTCAGAAGCATCTTGCTAACCAGTTAGCAACTTAGTGCTAGTAGGTTCCCAATGGGAAATTCCATTGGGACCAAGTAGCACTAAATTGCTAACCAGTTAGCAACTTAGTGCTAGTAGGTTCCCAATGGGAAATTACATTGGGACCAAGTAGCACTGAATTGATTACTTAGAAACGACACTGTCAAGGAACACTATGGACAGAGGAAACATGTAAGAGGAGGAGAGTTTTTTTGTCGGACATCGTGGATGAGTCTCCTCCGTCATACATTTTTTATTTAGAGGAGGACAGTGGGGATGAGGTTGTTGTGGAATGCCAGGAGGATGCCAGGGAGGCAGAAGCTTTGTTTGGTGTCGAAGGCTTACAGCGGTACATGTTTGAGCCCTTGCCTCACAATGCTGCCAGTTCTGTTAGCTCTACGCCTGCCGAAGACAAAGACGTCCATCCCTGTGAACATTGAGATGTAACTCAATGGTAAAGTAAATGCTTCTTATTTCAACCATGGTGTATACAGTATTATCTGCGACATATGAATCAAGGTGCTATGATTGATTGACAGATTTGCCGAATTTAGGTGTACAAGCTGACGTATAACTAACTGGCCTGCATAAAATAATGAGAAAAAAAAAAGGTTTTAAGACAGGATTTTTTTTTTAAATGGAAACTATTTGGACAATATCATCTGATAAAGATTACATTTATATACATGTTTAAGCCAGAATGATTTGACATTTAAATATGACTTCTCTACAACTTTAAATCCAACACTGTGTGTCCCAGGGCCCTGGCATAATTAGATGAAAGAAAAATGTCAGAAAATGCATTCTCCTGAAAATTTGAGCGAACGTGGAGTGATTTCGCAATAGTGGCAGGAAAATTAAGGTGAGCGTCGAGCGGAGTTTGATCGGAGCATACTGGTGCAACCTTGAGTGGCGAATGAGCGAATATCCTCCTGAGCGGTGAGTGGGAACTGCGCAGCGCTCTGCTCTGTTCAAATGCTCTGATCTGCAGTGATCCGAATGCAGTCCTTTCTGCATCATTTAAGCAGAAAAAAAAATGTTGACAATCTCTTGTAAATTGTGTCCATAGGCAGTTTAGTAGAACAGGAAAGCCTGTAGAAAAGACTGTAGTTGATTTTAACATGAAATATAATTGGTGAGGCTGTGGTGAGAATTTTCTCACCTGTTCTATCTGTTTGAGCCAAACTTTCATGCAGGTTTCTATCTTTTCAGTTGTTTCTTTGTTGTTGGCTGCTGCCTTGTAATCCGCAGGGGATTTCAACAACTCTAAGTCAAGCGCGTCACATTGCTTCAAAGTAACCTGAAGGCAAAACAAAGTAGGATTATTTTCACTTTTTCTTACAGTTTTTTGTTTCTGGTTTACATTTCGGCTTCATGTCCATGTTTTTTTTTTGTTGTTGTGTAAAGACATTTTTTTTTATTACATCTGCAGAAACATGAGCGCTCCAAATTCTTAAAGCAGTTATTAGTTTTTCATGTAGTTTTATCCATCTTTAGTCTTTATGCTTTACTTTGAATATTACATTATCTTTGTTTTTTCCAAGTTATTCTTAGGTTCACAAGCAGATGATTGTTAACCAGGTTAATTGTTGTTTAGTGGTGTTTGTCACTGTCCACAGAGCTGCTTTGGTATGGAGTTTTTGTTTCTGTTTTCTTACCTTCATTTTCAGGGTGTGCCAGGCAGGTGTGGCTCCCAGCTGGTACTCATCAGCCTCAATCAAGGAAGCAGTATTTAGAGGAGTGGATTCCCTGAGGCAGATGACAGATGGTTACCTATACCAGTGGTAACTGGGTCCCTCTTCAAGACTTCCAAGTTAGTTGAACTTGTTCTGATAACATTACTTACCAGTCGTGTCTCTGACTTCCTTTTAGTTTTCCTCCTGCTGAAGGTTTGCTCCTGTTCCTCCCTAAACGGCGCTTTCCACTCCTCCCCAAGAGCTTCCTTTCAAGATCCGCTAAAGACGAGCTCACCTGCCTGTCCACCCTCCAACGCCAAAAGAACCTGGTAACTCGAAGGTCTTCACCCCCTCTCTGTGGACACTGTTGCTCTCCTTCTTAGCCTGTTTCCAAGCCCTGAGAAGTAAGTCTGCCCTCACTGTTCATCTCAACATCAGCTGGAACTCTTACTGATCACCTGACCTGTTTTGCAGTGAGACACCGCATTGGATTTCCTGTTTTCTCTGCTTCCAGTCTGAACAATAAAAACCCTTCAAATAAACTCAGTTCTCCTGTTGTACGTACTGCTGCTGCGCCAGAGTCTTGATCCGAAATCATGTCAGTCACGTACCATTTCTTGTAGGCTCTCCTGTGCACCCCTTAAAACAGAAACAAATCTTTCAAGTGAAGATATAATCTCCTGTTTTACACCCTGGGCCTGGGGACTGGCCAATTCACCCAACCGTGGTTTGTTTCACTTAGTGTGGGGATGAAGACTTCCGAGAGCAACTTCTCCACACTTTTTAAAAGCCCACCTTCTGTGGCGTCCAACATATTGAAACTCACCTCCCTCAAATTTGGAAAGGTGTAAATTTATTATGGAAACAACACATCATAGTATACTATTAAATAACATACTTTGATTTTGTCAAAATCTACCAGAGACTGAGAGGAAAACAGTCTATACCAGCAACATGTGTGCTGCTGTTTTAAAATGAAAACAATACAAAAATGTTATGTAAATAGGGTTAAAAAGACGAAATGAAGGGGTTCATGGTCCAAGAGCATTACAAAGAAATGTAGAGAGAATCTCCCTCTCTTCTGCACCACTTTATTGTGAAGTCCCTCAAGATTCTGTCATGGCACCTTTATGATTGCACTCTGTATTCTCTGCGTCAAGTCTTCTGGAAGTATGAAGACTCCCAAACTTATATGCTTATAAGGAAAACTGGTAATAGACCCCTGGCATCTTTACTGCAATGTGTTAATGCCTCCAATGACGTCAAGGCTTTGTTGGCTCAAAATGTCTTGAATCTTAATGAGCCAAATGGAAATTCTGTTGTTTGGACCTAAAGACCCCCTGAATAATTTGGGGCCACTTATGAAATATGTTCATCCTTCAGCAAACAGCCATGGTACTGTAATCAATATGGAGTTTAAGCAACACAAGTAAATGTCAGTTTCTAACATCTTTGTCTCTTATAAAATGTGAAGCTATATTTAATCGTTGAAAAACATTTTTTTTATTTCTCATATTTATTTCAGCTTGCCTGGTCTACTGGTATGTTCATTTAGAGGCATAAAAGGCCTTGTACTGCAGTTAGTCCAGAACTGTGTGGAATGTCTTTTAACAGGAATACAAAGCAGGAGGTCAGTTTTTCTAAAAATAGGTGCATTTTTTCTCTACGTGAGCAGATAAGCCGACATTTTGCCAATGGAATAGGACAATTTACATTAAAAAAAACAAACAACAGTTGCTGTTTCCTCGTTCGAGTGCATAATATCTAATTATCTTATTTTAATGGTACAAATACTTATTCCATTTGAAGTTCGTCTTATTTACTTGCTCAAATTAAGGGTGAATACACTTATTTTAAGAAAAATTTACTCATTTCTACATCATCTTTGCAGAGTATATTTCACCTTCTCTTGCATCTTTGCAGTGACTTACTGTTAACTTTAGAATTGATTTTAAGGTTTTATTGTTTGTTTTTAAAGATTTAAATGGCCTGTTCCCAGAATATACGGCAGACCTCCATATTTATTCTGCTGCACATGCTCTAAGGTCTGAGAATTAGGGGGCTTTCTCGGGAGAGGACTTTCTCTGTGGTTGGCCCAAGACTCTGGAATGGTCTGATTTAGGTCTCATCTCAAGACCCACTTATATTCACTGGCTTTTAAGACTCAACAAGGTGTGTTGTACTGTATATAATTCCATTTGATTATTTTATTTTTTATTTGTGCAGCACTTTTGGACATTTCATGTTATTTAAAGCTCGATTGTGCATGTTAAAAGGTAATTATACACGCCCTTTGATTGTCTCAAGTGTAAAATGAGCTTCCCTTTATAAACCGCAGTTGTTTCTACAAGCTACATTGGTCAATTTGTAAGAGAGCGATTCAGGTTGAATTCTATAGGTGTGCATGTGGGTGTGATGTAATGCATGCTCTCTTTAACCTAGTTGCTTTGTTGAGTCTTGGTAACAGCAAGAACAGGGTTCATGATTTGTAAGTATAAACAATTTTGTGTAGTGTGACAAAAACTGCCAAAATGGTGAGAAGATTTAACTTAGCATGTAACTTAGACAGGTTAACGTCTGTTGTTATAAAATCTGAAACCTTTCTACCAAAGCCAATTTTTCTTAAATGTAAAACAATACTTGGCAATAAAGCTTTTCTGATTCTACCTTAAAGAATAGAAGCTGAATCCATTGAAAAAAGGTTCTCATTAAGTAGCTGAATATGTTTTAAGGCATTAAAACGTATCTGATACTGTAAGTCTACATAAATGTTTATCATTACCCAAAACAAAGCAGGTGTTGAGGATATGAGCATCAAACAAAAATCGAGGTTATATGAGAATCTAAGGCAGATGAGGAAGGTGAATGCAGGGATACTAATTGGCAGGAAAGTACAGCAGACAAATGGAGGGAGGCTAAAAGGATTAAGAATAAGAAAAAAATGTAAAAACCACAAAGGAAATTATGTTTTGAAAAGAAGAAACAGATGATTCCTTGATATCATATTTTGTTCTGCTTAGTTTGGTAGCTAACTTGCTAAATGTTGTGATCCTGGCTTTTTATCCCTCCTCTCGCCCTAAATTATGCATGCAATTTTTAACCATGTGGTTAAATTGACCCCAGGGATATTAAAGTCAAGAAAATTATTTACAAAATAGTATTGACCATGTTTTTGTTACAGGCACGTTGCTTATTTGTTACATAAAAAATATACAAATAACCCCTCAAAAATCAGTGAGTTGACCTGTCCCCTAGCGGCACCATCAAAAAAACTTTCAGGTTTAGAGCACATTCATGACTCTCACAGAATGACCACGTTGACATATTTTGGTGACTCCCCCTTTCCTCTCATAACACATTTATAACCATATTTTCATTTACAAATTTTTATAAAAAAAATGTGTTGTATATTTGTGGCTAGTTACTGTAAGATCTCCCCCACCCCTCCTCTTTCGGTACCCAGGATTGGGACCGCCTGTGGCAGAGTTATAGAGTTTTTTTGTTTTTGTTTTTTTGTTTCTTTGTCATCATGTGTATGACATGAGACAAAATATGGAATGTCTTCAGAGACATGATGGCCGGAGATATTGCTCTTCCAGTCTTAGCCTTCCAAAGGTTCGCTGTGGCTTCACCTTTTGAATTGTACACTCCTGCCAAAGTTAGCAAGCTTATATGGGCTTCCAAGTCAATGACATCAACATCTTTCCAACTGTCCCCATTCATTATGCTTCCACTCAAAATTTGTCATCCCAAGCACAATATTTTGATAGATGGCGTTACGAAGAGCTTGAATGATGACTTGATGTCATCAACATGGCTCACCGCATATCTGGTAGGTCCTAGAACCATTTTAATTATATTACTGGCACTATGTCCACCCTGCTGTTTCAGTGGGGAAACGGCCCATATTATCTTTCCATTTTTGGAAGAGATCGTGTCTGCAGGTGTTTGAGGGACAACAGGAAGGTCAACATTCTCATTAGATTAGAATCCCTTAAAATCAGGGTCCTCCTCAACAGTCCTCTGTCCCAGAGACAATCTCCTCTGAGTCCCTTTCACTGTCAAATAGCTGTTCCAAAACTTCTTTGACAGTAAGTTTTTCCAAACATTTTCAAATAGAGTGTGAAGATGACAGTACACTCAGAGCACAGTGAGGAATTATTCAGATAGAGAACTACTATGCAAGCTATTATATTTACTCCTCTCTGATTTTGCATGAACTACTAAAGTCCTTGCTGGAATTGCCCGCCCTCCACAGAGCAGGAATATTCAGTTCTACTTTGGCAGGTGTGAGTTCAGAAGGTCACACAGTAACACATACACACCTTCATGCCCATGGTGCAGATATATCAAGGTTCTCATGGGAATAGAACAAAATGTATCAACTAAAGTGGATCTGCCCTTGTAGGTTTGGTCATGTTAGCTCACACCACATGCTAAAACAGCTTGGGGTCAAACTGACCCCTGAGGATAAAAATTGTGTGCAGTGTGTGTTCAGCACATAAAAAAAAAAATAATAATTCTGTACAACAATTTTGTTATCAGTTGTCCCCATCAAATTAGGAAAAGTCAAGAAATATGAATAAAAAAAAATCTAACTGATATATTTTGAATGATAAACATTGAACGGGGTCGAATGGACCCCAAGGAGGATATGAAGGTTAACTAAAGGCAAAAACTGTGTCCAATTTGTGTATACATGAAACTGATCCACATTACTGTATCTTTCTTTGTTTGGCTATGACCAGTAGCACACATGACCTGTTTCAAACAGAAGTGATTAGCTTTGCTGCAGGCAGCATGTGGGCAAGTTACAATCAATGACCAAAACAAGCTGTGATATCACAAGGCTATTGATGAACCATCCTGTAGCCCAGCTTATCTTTGGATGAAGCAAGGATTCGTGGAAACTGTTTATCCCTCGAAATTAATTTCCGCTAAGACTTATTTTTAGCTGGTCTTATTTAAAAAAAGCAAAGATTAACATTCTTTTTAAGATATTTTTGCAGGATATTTTCAAGTGCCATTTGGAAATACACCCTGAATTAAAAAATTATTTTGTTTTTAATAAAATCATTTGTTTACAGAACTGGACATTAATACATAGCATTAAAATACCAGACGGCTTCATTTCAGGACTAACTTACAAAGGAAAAACATTTTTTTACTTTTGCTGTTTTCTTTTTTTGTTTGTTTTTTACATGTCACTGTGATAGTTGAGGCTAAATTTGTATTTGAGTTTCAAAATATAATTTACTGTTATAAAATAAAGGTCTATGCTTTTAGAAAAACACTGACTCACACTGTGAATGTTCGCAGAGGTTATTGCTCTCAAAGTTTTTGCTCTGGTGAAGAAGACGCAAATGCCGGTCAATGCCACATCCTTTCCATCAGTTACAAACACTTTCTTTGTGTGACTGTGCCGGTGGGAATCAAGCTGGGTGGGTAGAGCGGCTGCAGCTGCAGAAATAAGGAGTTAGTCATCATCAGCCTTTATATTTCTGCTGGACTGTTTTCAATGTTTTCACCAGTGTCAAAAATAATTGCATAAAAGACAGTTTGTCTGCTTTGATCCATTGAGTATTCTTTTTTTTTCT